GGACACGCTCCAGGTGTGGGGTGGGGAGAGGCAGTGAGGAAACGCATCAAAAGAGACAGACAGACAGACGGAGGGACGCATAGACATGTGCATACACACACAGACATGCAGAGAGAGGCAGGGAGACTGAGATCCCCAGGTACCCCCAGCTGGGTGCCAGCCAGACCATGGGTCCCACCTGTGCCATCTTCAGCAGGAAGGCATCCACAAGGTCGCGTGCGGGGCATGAGGTGTCCAGGCTCCCCTGGTGCCGCTGCACCTGCTGGACGGCGAAGGCAGCCAGGGTGCCCAGATGGCGGAAGAGCCGCCTGTGGGGGCCTGGCAGGGGGTGCAGGAGCCAGGAGAACATCTCGTAGGTCTGTGGGGAGGAAGGGAGGCTGGTTCTCGCGGAGGCTTGGCAGGAACCTTTGGCGAAGGTAGCCCGAGAGGGGTCCCACCCGCTTACCTGGCCCCATGGGGAGCTGACCCCCAGCAGGGTACCCCCAGCTGCCCGGACCACGGCCTGGAACTCCTCATCCTCGTAGGGGAAGCGGAGGCCAAAGACGAGGGAGCAGGCGACGTTGGAGGTGGCCTGGGCCAGCAGCAGGGAGGGATCGAATGGGTGTCCTAGGGGGAGGAGAGGACAGGGAGGAGGCTGTGATGGGGCTGGGTGGAGGGGAGCCAAGGCGGGGCAGACCCAGCGATGTAGAGTATGGGCTGGACCCGATCAGAGACAGACAGACAGACAGGGAGAAAGACAGAAACAGAGCAACAGGCAGAGACACACAGGGAGAGAGAAACCAGACAGACGTAGGGCCAGAAAAACAGAGGAAAGAGGCAGAAGGAGACACAGAGACCAAGAGAAAGTGAGATGACAGCACCAGGGACACAGAAAGAGATGCGGTGACACCCATGGACAGATAGCCCTGGAGTCCAGGGCTTCATCTCTCACTCGCCCAGGGACTTTGGGCTGACCCTGCCCTGCTGACCTTTTGTCCCCTGGAACGCCTCCACCAGGCACTGGGCCTCCGCCTGGATCCGCTCCTCGCCTTCTCGCTTCCCCATGCCCAGGTCCCGCAGAGCGAGCATGGTGAACTTCCTCAGCTGCCTCCACTGCTCCCCGTTGGAGAAAAAGACCCCTGCACACAAGGCTAGACTCAAGGAGGGACCGGCACCTCTCTCCATTCCCCAGGACGACCCCTTTCCTCCTTGCGAGGTACCCCTGAGGGGACTCTTCAGCCCCTGAGTCTATCCGAGTCTAGCCCAGAGATGAGGACTCAGTAGGTGCTCAATAAATGCATAATCAAACTGGTTCCTCCATCCTTTGACCTTGGGGCAGAGGGTACATTCTTCTGAAAAACAGGTGACTGGGATGATCCAGGCTTCTTCTGCTCCTTAATTAACCAGGGCGAGCGAAGTTGTCTTCCTTCCACCCACATTTTACCCTTCTTTTCCTCGGCTTCCCTCCTCCCCTCCCATCCACCCACCCCAACATTTATGGAGTCCCGGGTCCCTTGTCCCACACAGGCTGGAGGTTGCACAGAGAGGCAGGAGGATGGATCTGCAACTGTTTACCTCCTTTATCCAAGATACCTGCTCCAGACAGACCCTCCCCTTCTCTGAGCTTAATGTTTTCATCTGTTAAAAGCCACACTTTAGTGACTTCCTGGACACCTCCTCCACACCGTGTCCCAAACTGGCCTCAGCATCTCTCCTCCCTCCATCTCAGCTCACCATCCATGCCCTGTTCCCTGGCCAGAGCCCGAGGTTTCACCCTGATAACTCTCCCAACCACCCCCTCCTCCCCGTCCCACCGCCCCCGCCCTGGTCTAGCCCAGTCCCTTCCCTGGGCTCCCAGACTTCAGTTTTGCCCTTTCATACAGCAACCGGATGACCTTTCTAACTCTGATTACTGATCTTCCCTGCTTAAAATCTATTGCTCCTGGGAAAACCAAAAGCCTGAATGCTCTGGCGTGACTCACAGGCCGCCTTGCATGACGACCAGGGCTCCCACTTACTTCTCCGCGCAATTACTCTTCCCGCTATGACGGCACTGGTCTCCTCTCACTTCCTCAAAGGAGTCAGGATCCCCCGCTAGGCCTCGGCCCCTGCTGCTCCCTCTGTCTGAGTCACCCTCACCCTGCTCCCATCCTTGGTGAGCTAACGCCATTCATCCTCCATGTCTCAGTTCTAATGTCACCTCCTCCGAGAAGCCTTCCCAGACTCCTCCGCACCCACTCCTGTACAGGTCCTCTGTGCCCCATGCCTTGCTCTCAAAGCTGTACTTCTTATTCTAGAATTCTATTCCCTGCCTCTCCCACAGTAAGAGAGGACACCACATCTGTCTTGGTCGCTTTTGTGTCCCCAGCACAGAGCCAGGCATAATGAAGACGTGTCAGTGGAATGGATGAATGCTGCTTCTCCCATCTCCATGCTTTCGTGTGCACCGATCTTTCTGCCTGGAACGCCCTTCTTGCTCATCTTACGAGTCTCATCTCAGACATCCTCTCTTTCAGGAAGACGTCCTGAAGATCCTCCACCAAACAGGCTGGGTCAGGCACCTCCTCTGGCTTCCTACTGTCCCAGGACCTGCCTCATCCCCGTCCCAACCCCTCTGCCTGTGCCCCCATCCCACCCTGACCCTTCTCGCTGTGCGCCCCCATCTGGTCCCGACATCTCTGGGCCGCCACTGTCTGGCGAAGGGTCTGTCTCCCCACCGGCCTAGGTGCCCTGGGGGAGCAGGACTGGGGCTGTCTTAGTCACTGCTGTGTCCCTGGCCGCGCCCAGCATAGGCCACCTGCCCTCCACCGTAACACAGAGCATGGTTTTGGTGTTTTGAGTCCTTGCCCACCAATTCCCAGTGCCCTGAACGCTCTCTGGTGCTTCTTCCCGGGCCCCCAGGGCTTTACCTGGGTCAATGATCGCTATCACTGATACAACCTGGTGATTAATGGGTGCTCACTTTGCACAAGGCCCAGTCCTCCTCCAATCTTTAGTACAACCCTACGTGGTAGGTGCTGTTATCAGCCTGTGACTTCACAGATGAGGACACAGAGGCACCAGGCCATGCCGCATACCAGTAAGTGGTGGTCGGCTTAGAGTGAGGGGCCCAGCAGCCCCCACCTCCCATCACTCACCGTGGCCGTCAAAAGTCCGGTCCAGCGTCGCCAGTGTTCCTCGCCCACTGAACTCCTCAGCCTGGCCTCCCAGGGCCTCCTGCACAGCCTTGTGACCAACCAGGACCACCACGCGCCGCCAGGGCCCCAGGTGCACGGTGAACACTGGTCCATACTTCTTGCTCAGCTGGGGGCGGGGCGGCAGAAGGGGTGGGTGCTGGGGGTCAGGCTGCCGCCTCTCCCAGCCAAGGTGTCGCCATCGTGGCCTCTGTCATTGGCTGAGCCGCCTGGTCTAGCTTTTGCACCGTCTACCAGGAACCTGCCCCTTCTCCCCAAAAGCAGAAATAGCCCCCTTGGGAGGCTCAGTTCTTTTTCTGCACCGGGCTCCTAGACCCCTTCACCAAAGTGCCCGCTGCCCCCAGCACATCCTCCAGTGCCCACATCCTCACTTCCTTCCTACCCAACCTCTGCCCCTGGACATCCCAGAACCAGCTCTGGTCTCACCTAATTCCTCAGCGCCCTTCGCCCCAAAGACCCAACCACCCCTTCCAATCACTGCAAAACCCCCGAATTTTGGAGGTTGGAGCGGACGCCGCTGAGCATCTCTGTCCAGAAACCCACACCCCCTTTTCTATGTCCTTGAAGTTCCCCAGAATCCTTTTGAATGGGGAACCTCGGGCTTCTTCCCACCCCCCACCCAAAGGTTGGGGCTGCCTCGCCTGCCTTCTCCTTCTCCTTGCTTCCCTCCTCCGTCCCAGGAACTCCCAGCTCCCTCCCAGGGGAGCTCCACCCATCCTCCCACCCGGGATCCTCTGCAGACAGATTCCTCCAGCCCGGGACCCCCGAGCCTGCAACGCTCCCAGCCTCTTCTTGGCCTCCACATCCCACCCCCGCCCTCCTCTGCCCCTTCCTCTTTGTCCCCTCCTTAGCGCACCGCACCTGTGTGCCCCAGCTACCTCTCCCGCGGTGACAAGCCTACCCCTCAGCTTCTCTTCAGCGGGAGGACTCCCGTCTCTCTCCGCCTGGTCCCTGCCCATCACCTTCCCAGGATTCTGCGGGCAGAGGTCTCTGCCCCTCCTAGCCCGGGCGCCCCACCCAAGGTACCCCTCCCCTTCTCGGCCCCGGACAACCTACTCCTACCCCCACCCCAGGACACCGTAGGTCCTCTGCCCTGGGAACCCCTGCCCCAGCCTGCTCCCCAGGATACCCGAAAGCCCCGTCTTCTCTCCCTGGGGACCCCTCCCGCTCTGGGCCGTGGACCCCCGCCCCGATCCAGGACGTCCCCGCGGTCCCTCACCCGCAGGAACCCGGAGTAAAACGCCCCGGGCCGGAGCTGCAGGAGGTTCCCCAGCAGCGGCAGCGGCGCGGGCCCGGGGGGCAGGTGGCCTCGGGCCCGGATCCCGGGCAGCGCCAGCGTCAGCAGCAGGAGCAGCAGCACGAGCAGCAGCGCCCAGGTGCCGGCCGCCTCCATCTCGGCAGGTCGGCTCCGTCTCCTCCTCCCAGGCGCTCCACGCGGCTGGGCCAGTTAGGGCGGGAGCCGGGCGGCTCCCTCCCCAGCGAAATCAGGCGGGGGGCGGGGCAGCCAGCCCATCCCCCCGCCTGCAGGCAGGCTTCTCTCCCCGCCGCCAGATTTCTCCCGGACCACCGCCGCCGCCTGATGTCTGGGACTCACGCTCGAATAGAGGTCTCCCAGGTCACCCGGGTTTGCCCGTGGTTCGGGGGGCGGAGACAGCGCCCCAGGTAGGGCGAAGGCAAATGGAAGGAACCTGGAAGCCGGAGACTTTGGCCGGCTCTAGGCGGCCACGCCCTGCCCCTGGCGGTGACCGGCGGTGACCCTGCGCTGCCCTCCCCAGCTCCTGCCTCCCTCCTCGTTGCAATCCGGGGTGTGCGTTCCTGTGTGCGTGCCTGTGTGTGGTGTCTTTGAGCCAGTTCCCTCCAGCGTCTAACATCTTCACAACTAGGAGGAGGAACTTGACCTCTAACGATAAAGAATCCAAAGTCCAGAGCGGTAAATCGGTTGGCCCTAGATCATACGGATAGGTGGGAATTAGAGTTTGGACCCAGGCCAGTCCGGATGATTATGATTGATCGAGTCATTCATTCATTCATTCATTCGGTCAGAGGCAGTATAGTCGTTAGGAGTCTGATGGCTGAAGCCAGACTACTTGAATTCACAGCCTACTTCCTCTGTGCTTCTGTTAACTCTTTTGTGAAATGGAACTAGCTTTCAGGATTAAATTAAGTACACCTTATGCACACAATTTAAAACAGGGCCAGGTGCATATATAACAAGTACTAAGTAAATTTGAGCGAGTATTTCCTCAACTAATTGTTATTGAGGTCTAGCTATAAACAAGACTTTGTTCTCGACCTGAGGATGAAGCTATGAGCAACGGAGAGAGGGCCCCTGCCCTCCCCGAGTTTATAACCACATGCAGATCAATCTGAAATTAAGACAATTTCGGGAAGTAAGAAGGCCTGCCTGCCAGAGAAATGGGTTTATCGAGGAAGAAGGCAGAATGTCAGATCCACGTGTGCATAGATTATTGTAGGTTTGGTTCACTCTTGTGTCCCCGGTGTCTAGTGCAGTGCCTGGCACACAAGTGCTTAAGACATATTTGTTGCATCGCAGACTGAATGTTGGCAAAGTCTGCAGGGGCCATCCTGCAGGGTCCTGGAAAAGACTTTGCATTTTATTTCTAGTGTAAAGGGAAGCAGTCTGAATGAAGGGTTTGCAGCAGGGCAGTTACTTTGTTTTGCATTTTCATTTAACATTTAATTAAGAAACATTTCAAACATACAGCGAACACCTGTGTACTCATCACCAGTAACATTTATTATAGTTTCTTTGTTGCGCATCTGTTTATCTTGCCCCATAGATTCCTTTTTTTTTTGATGCTTTTCAAAGTCAGTTGCAGACACCAGTACACTTCACTCCCAAATCCATCAGCATGCATGTCATTAGCTAGAGTTCAGTATTTTGCTTAGAATTTTTTCCCCAAAGCAAACTTACATACAATAAAATACATACATTTTAAGCGCATTATTAGATGAGTTTGGACAAATGTGTACATTTATGAAACTCAAACCCCTGTCAGGATACAGAAAGTTATCATTACCTCAGAAGGCTTTCTCATGCCCCTTCCTAGTCAATTACCCGCCTCCTGCCACTGTGCTAATCCCTCTTCCCTCCCACTCTGGATTAGATTTCTCTTTGCAGTTAAAAAGACTTCTGGCTGCCATCCAGTGAATGAACTGTGGGGGAGGGGGAGAGGGGAAGAGGAAGCCAGTACTTCAGCGGAGAGGCCACAGCAAAATCCAAGCATGTGATAACAGTAGCTTGGATCTGGGTGGGTGGCAGCGGGGAGAGAGGGAAAGGTGTAAATTTGGGATGTATTTGGAAGTAGAGCCAGCAGGATTTGCTGACAAATGGGGTTTGAAGTCAGAGGAAGGAATCAAAGTTAAATCTGTCAGATAAAAACAAATCAGGGCTTAGGGAAGTAGAGACTTTATTCAAAAAGACCTATTGCAATGGGGGAAAGAAACTATTGCAAAGACAGTGAACAGGACCAGAATCTGATAATCGAGAAGGATATGTTGTCCAGTGAAACAGACTTCTTCCCTACTCCTAGATTTTGTTGTCATCGGCAAGTGGAAAGATGGTGGTGCCTTTTACACAGGTGAGGTGAGGAAGAAGATGAGAAGAAGGTGTGGGGACCAGGTGAAGTGGGAAGCTGGTGGAGCCCGTTTTGCAGCGGGGATAGGGGAAATCAGGAATTCTCTGTTGGTTCCATGAAGTTTGAGATGTCTGGAAACTATCCCGAGGCTACATAGAGTGGAGTGGGCAGACGGGTTTGAGGTTGGATCTGGGAACTCCTAGAACCCTCCAGAACAAGGCAAAAGAGGAACTAAGAATTGGCATCTACTTCTTTGCAGCAGTGTCGGGGCCAGCCTCCCTGTTCCCCTGGTTTCAGGCTACACCCCTGGGATGTCAGAGGCTAGAATCAAGTCTAGAGGAGACTGAAGTCAAATGTTCCCCGGACTCCAAGGAACATTCAGGTCATGTTCTTGAGAAAAAGTGCTCTGGCCAAGAATAAAAGCTGCAAGATTGCAAAGATTGTAAGGGTCCGATGTTTAAAAATGACTAAGACCATGTAATCCTATCGATAAGAAAACTTAAAAGTTCCCAAGAGTCTAAATAGATTCCAGAACAAGACTTCCTACTGCCCTGGTAATAAAATTCAAGCCCCTCACGGTCGCCTAATAGGCTTTTCTGGTTGCTAAACGTGACATCATCTTGGCCCACTGTGCTTTGCTCATGATATTCCATTTCTTTCAGTTTCTCCAATGTCAAGCCAACCTCTGGGCCTTTGCACTTGTCCTCTGCTTAAAGCGCTTGGCCTAGAGATTGAGGTTGGCTCATTCTCAGTTCCCTGTACAAAGACCAGCCCCCTCCAGCAGAGACCCTCCCAGACCACACAAGCTGAATAAGTTCCTTCCCCATCCCACACCCAGCTTTAATTTATTATTAATAGGGTACTATATGAATATTAAATAAGCTAATATTTTAAGCATTTATAATAGTGCCTAGCATATAGTAAGCTTTGAACATGTTTGTTAAATACATAAAACATTTTCTTCATGAGTTCTCATCACCACCTGAAAGTATCTTATATATTGATTTACATTTTTATTTTCCCTTCATCCACCAGATTGTTCTGTCCCCAAGACTGGGATTTCTGTTTCATTCACTGCTGTATCCCCAGTGCCTGACGCACAGTAGATGCTCAGTAAACATCTTGTTGAATACACAATCTGAATACAATTTGTAAATCTCTAAAATTCATCTACAAAGCGATCAAGTTTCCAAAATTCTCAAGTCTAGAGAGCAAAGACTCAGAGGTTCCCAATATAGATTTTGCAGTAACTTGAGTCACGCCTGGTGGATCCTCTCTCACCGAATCGTCACCCTGGGCTAGGAGATGCCCGCACATGGTGTTCAGCAGCAGACAGCCTGACCTCTTGGCCCTCAAAGCTACTTCCCATCAGAAATCCCCTGATCTGGGCTGGGCAGTGCTGGAGCCTCTTTTGAGTCTAGCCTCCCACCATCGGATTTTCTCAACCACTCTGGAGGCTGCCGATCCTAGGGTTCCAGCATGCTGAGTGGTGGATGGGTTCTAGAAATTGTTGGGGGATTTATTTTGCTTGGGATCCTCCCACCCTAGGGTTCTGGAACGCTCCTTGCTGTCCAGGGCTAAGCCACAGCCCGTCTGCTCTCTGGTCCACTTTGCTGGACTCGTTCTGCCTCCCTCCTGACTTTCTCCTCCCCGCCTTGCTTATCTTAGCTTCTCTCCTTTCCCTTCTTCAAAGCTGCCCCATGCAACACCTGGAACTGGGCAAAGGGGAAGTCCAAGATGAGAGCTGTTTCCTTCCTGCTTCCCCGGGCCTCGGGCTTCCCCAGATTTGAAGAGCATCATCTCTAGCTGGGAATAATGGCAGTGGCTTGATTATGTCACAGACCACAAAGCAGCAACATTCTTTGCTCGGTTCTGCTGTCTCCGCATCCCAGCCCACCTGCCTTCCCTGTGTACCCCTCTTCTACCCTTTCATCCCACGCCCTCGCTCCATCCTCTCTTTTCCTGATGCCTTCTACGTACCTTTCTTTGTAGCTGAGATAGGATGGGGGTAGAAAAAAATAAGGCACTGGCCCCACAAATTCCCATCATGAAGGCGTCCATGGGTTGAGAAAAATAAAATTACGGGTCTTTTCGGTGACAGCTCGTGCTTCCTATCCTTACCTCGCTCTGTATCTACTATTTGCTTCCATTCCCTTGTGATTTAAAAAAACAATTCTTTCAAAAAAATGTTATTTTAAAAATAATTATTTCAAATACAGAGACAGGGACAGGACTAGAGAGGAATTGTCGCAGTCATGCATGCACGCCTGTCTTTACAATAGCTTACCATTTTTACCATTATTTATTTAGAGAAGTGAAATGCTGGTGGCTGAGTTGGGGTCTCCTGTGTTCCTTTCCAAATGTCAGACCTCTCTCTCCCACAGGGGAGCAATGATCTTACAGTTAATATTTCAAGGTATCTTCTTCTTTTCCTACGTATTCGTGCAACCACAAACACTTGTTGGGGAAGTATTCTTTTGCAGGGTTCAAAGCTTTATACATAGCACACAGCTTACCTGCGGCCTTGGGGCCACGTGTGGCCTTGACCGAATCCCAATTGTACAGCACGAATCCTTTTAGTAAAGTTTGGATTCACTCGAGGGGCCACACCTGGGGATCTGGAAAGCCACATGTGGCCGTGAGGCGGCAGGCGCCCCGCCCCTGTACCTATTCTGCAGCTGGCCTGTTTTCTTCAGCTTTTGAGATTTGTTCCTATCCAGACAGGGGGCTCTGGTTCATCAGTTTGAACTCCTACAAGGTGTTTTCAAGAATGGCTTTGACACAATGTCTCCATCCGTTTCTCCTAGGGACTGATCTGATCTCCAGGTTGTTTCCCGTCTTTTCCTC